GTGTCTCAATCTTTATGGTTTCTATTGATGAGCCAAAAATCTTTATTTTAATGCATTCAAACTTTTTGTTTTGCCTTTATATGGTGATTTTTGTGTTTTAACTAAGGAGTCTTTCCTTATCTCACAAACATAAAAATCTTAAAGTTTTCTGATTATTTATTTATTTATTTTTGCCAGCCCTGGGGCTTGAACTCAAGGCCTGGGCACTGTCCCTAAGCTTCTTTTGCTCAAGGACAGCATTCTACCACTTGAGCCACAGCACCACTTTTGGCTTTTTCTGTTTATGTGGTATGGAGGAATTGAACCCAGGGCTTCAGGCATGCTAGGCAAGCACTCTACCACTAAGCCACATTCCCAGCCCAAAATCTTAAAAGTTTTCTTAAAAAAAAAAAAATAAAAACCACAACACCCTTGCAGTGTTTGGCAATATTATTAGTTTTCTCAGAGACAACTTTTGGTTTTGTTAATTCCTTTGGATATTTGTTTCCACATAATAAACTATTTCTTGTTTATTCTGTTGCTCTTTAATCCCTTAATTAACTAATTAATTATTTTTCTGGGCCTGGGCACTGGCCCTGAACTTCTTTTGCTCAAAGTAAGCACTCTACCACTTGAACTAAGTGCCACTTCCAGCATTTTTGAGTATTTATTGGAATCTCACAGAGTTTTCTGCCTGGGATGGCTTTGAACCATGATCTTCAGATCTCAACCTCCTGAGTAGCTAGGATTGCAGGTGTGAGTTGCCAGCTCCTAGCTCCAATCCCTTAATTTTTTTGGGGGGGGCCCTCCGGTCATGGGGCCTGAACTCTGGGCCTGGGCTCTGTCCCTCAGCTCTTCAGCTCAAGGCTAGCGCTCTACCACTTGAGCCACAGCACCACTTCCCGCTTTTTTCTTTTTGCTTATGTGGTGCTGAGGAATCGAACCCAGGGCCTCAGGCATGCAAGGCACGCATTCTACCACTGAGCCACCTTCCCAGCCCCTAATCCCTTAATTTTTATGTTGCTTATTTTTTTACTTTTCTTGTATGAGGTATTTAAAAGACTGTTTTTCAATGGAGGGGCTAACAATGTTCAAGAGGAAGTGTACTCATTACCTCACTCATGTAACTGTAACCCTCTGTATAGTATCTTTACAATAAAAAATTAAAAAAAATAAAATTAAGTGGAAATACTAAAAAAAATAAATAAATAAAAGACTGTTTTTCTACAAGTACTTTAGTTCAAATTCATCCTAGGCTATATTGTGAGACTTTGTCTCAAAAAATCAAAAGCATGATTTTTATGTACACTTGGTGAATCATACATTATGTAGTTGTCTTTTGGCTAGGACAGTGCTTATTTTCTTATATTTTACTTTGTTAAAATAAAAATATATGAGATTTCATTCATCTTCATATGATAAATATTTCCATCTTTCACTTTCAGGTATCTTTTCTTTGTTGGTATGTTTCTGACAACAAAGCATATAGCTGGAATTTTAAACTCACTCTGATAATGCTTTTCTTTTAAATGTAGTATGAAGCCCATTTGTCTTTATTATAATTTATGATATAATTTTTTTTGATCAGTCATGGGGCTTGAACTCAGGACACTGGCACTGTTCCTGAGCTTTTGTGCTCAAAGCTAGCACTCTATCACACTGAACCACAGCTCCACTTCTGGTTTTCTGGTGGTTAACTGGAGATAAGTATCTCAGAGACTTTCCTGCCCAGTCTGGCTGGGCAAGAATCTTCAGATCTCAGCCTCCTGAGTAGCTAGGATTATAGGCGTGAGCCACTAACAAATAGCATGAAATGTTTTTGTTTTCTCCACTAGCGTGTGTGTGTGTGTGTGTGTGTGTGTGTGTGTGTGTGTGTGTGTGTGAAAACAGCATAGAAATAGTCTTTAAAAGAACAAAATCTGCCCATGTAATTGTAACCCCTCTGTACAGTATTTTCACAATAAAAAAAAAAGAACAAAATCTTTGAAATACTGCCTAGAGGTGACTGCTAGCTCTATTATCTCCTACCTGTGTATTTTCAGGGCTAGTTCCATATATAGTTTATGCCCCTCTTTCATTATCTGTACAATGAGTAATAGTATAATATAATACAATATAATATAAGCCCTGTTTCATAGCTATGAAGTACACATATTCACTGCTGCTGTTGCCAACAGTGCTGGGTACTTATAAATGCTATGTAATGCTATTAGTGTTATTATAATCATCATTAAATTGGCATGCTTTTTCTTCTGTTTCCTCTTTATTTCTTTAGGATTGTTGAAACATTTTTTTCTTATTGCTTTCCTATGATTTTTTCACCTTATATTTTCTATTATGTTCTTTTTGGGTTACCTTAGAAATATATCATGCATACTTAGTTTAAAACTAATTCTTACCTTTACCACCTCCTTGACTAATGTAAGAGTTTTAAAACACCTCAATTCTGATCATTCCCCCCCACCCCAGTTTTTCCTACTCTGGAGTTTGAACTCAGAGCCTTATGTTCACTTGGATTATGCTCTACTTACCTGAGCCATGGCTCCAGCCTAGATTTTTGCTAGTTATTTTGTAGATGAGGCCTTGGGAACTCTTCTAGCAAAGCTAGCCTTGAAATGCACTCTTCTCAGCCTCCTAAGTAGCTAGGATTACAGACATGAGCCACCAATGCCTGATGATCACCTCCTTTCTGACATACTCTAATTCATCTCAATTTTAAGCCTCATAAATGATTATTTGTGCATTATACAGTCAGTACTTGTTTGGTTTTACTCACATATTTACTATGTGATTATTCCTTCTTATGGTTCAAATCTTCCATTGGCAATACTGATTCCTCTCTGAGTAACATTTCCTTTCTCCCTTTTAAATTGGGTATACTGAGCCGGGCACTAATGGCTCACACCTGTAATCCTAGCTACTCAAGAGACTGAGATCTGAGAATCATGGTTCAGAGCCTTGCTAGGCAAGAAAGTCCATAAGACTCATCTCCAATTAACTACCAAAAAGCTGGTAGTGAAGCTGTGGCTCAAGTGGTGCAGTGCTAGCCTTGATTTAAAAAAAAAAAAAAAAAAAAGCTCAGGAACAGTACCCAGGCCCTGAGTTCAAGCCTCAGGACCAGCATACAAAAAAAAATAAAAATGAATAAAGTGGGAAAATTTCTGTCTTTAGTGTCTGTAAATACCATGCTTTTAAAAAATAAACTTGAGACTTTACCAACAACTTTAAATTGACAAATATCTACTTCAAGTGTATTGAGATATAATTACATACTTTGATTTCCATATTTGTTGAGAAGATTATTTTTCAAACCACTGTCTTTGGGATTCTTTACTGTCTCTGAGGTTGTTCAGATATGTGCTTCTCTTTCATTCATTCTGGCTGCTTCTTGGATTTGGGATCTGTGGATTCTGATCTTATCCTTCCTACTTTGTTTCATCTCTGAAATTCATAGGAGATAAAAGGTAGACCTTTTCCTTCTATCCTTTATATGTTTTTACCTGTTTCATATTTTATTTCTGACCCTTTGTTACAGTCTTGTCAGTCTCCTCAGATCCATTTTTTGTACTTCACTAATTCTTTAGCTATTAAACACATTCATGGTTGATTTCTGGTGGTACTGGGGTTAGAACTCAGGATCTTGTGCTTGCTGGGCTGATACACCTCTACCCTTGTTTGTAACTGCTTATTTCTTTTAGCATAGGGTCTCATGTCCAGCCAGGGCACATGCCTGAGGTGTAATCTGCCTACTTTTAGGATTCCAGTCATCACTGAGATTACAGGTGGATGCCATTGGATTCAGCTTCCCTCTGTGGAAATGGACTCTTGCAGGCTAGGACTCTTTCTGCCTAGGATGGCCTGGTGCCGTGATCCTTGGGATGACAAGTATCCACCCCTGCACCCAGCTTAGGGTTCAGATGAAATCTCACAAATGTTTCTGCCCAGGCTGGCCTCTGAACCATAAAATCCTACCATTCTCAGATTCCCAACTAAGGTGACAGGTGTGAGCTTTGACATTCAGCGGAAGTTGAGGTTTTTAAAAATATAATTTTAGATGTTTTAATGACTAGTTCTTTTTACTAACTTTATAGCATGTATATGTTAATTATAAATATAATTATTTTATGCTCTGTGTCTGATAAATGTCGTAAATGAAGTCCTTCTGAGACAGATTTGGTTTTCTGTTTTTCTACTAGCTCTCAGAGAACAATTGTTCCCACATGCTCACTCTGTTCACGCCCCCCCTCTCCTCTTCATTTCCTCCTTCCCTCCTCAAATGTCTTGCAATTTTTAAAGGCTTCTTTATTGCTGGGCTGAATGTGAGACCACTCACTCCTGGGAAACACCTAGAAGCATACTTGCTCTGGCCTACTGTAAGCTATCATCTTAGAATATCTTAGAACATATGGGTATTGACAGCTTGGTCTGTTGACTTGTGTAATTAATATGCCATTATAGATTTTTAGAGAAGCTTCTTTAACTCAGCACCAAAACTGAAATCAAACAAAGCACTGTACAGAGCAAGGGAGAGTGCAATAACCTTTGGGCACTAGATTTATGTGCAGAACTTCCTGTTAGACTCACCACCCAATCAAGCCCTAGGTTTTGAATCTTGTCCCAGTGAGGGACATGCATGCAATTATGCACTGCAGAACTCGAGGGAGCATCTTTCATATAGACTATACTTTTGATATAAATACGAAAAATATCCCCTGAATTGTGTAGGATCCAAACCTGCACAACTCTGTGTGGTAGTCTGAGGGTCAGCAAGTGCCTTCAAAGTAAAAGGTAGGTTTAGTGCCTCAGTTTTATAATCCTGCAACTGACAGAACCTAAGTGAAGAATCTGTACAGTCTCTTCTCCCTTTTGAAGAGTAGGCATTTTAATACCTTATCGGTTGAATGAATTTGCTCATCTGTATTTCAACAAACATACCCACCTTTCTCTTGTCCCATTATTAAAAGAACTTGATGAGCGTTTATTGCTGAGTTTTTCTTTCTTCTTCTTTTTTTTTTCTTCAGATGAGGACTTTCCAGTTGTTCTCCAGCCTACCAATGCAAATGAAAAAACACAACTGATCAGCGAAGGAGCTCGAAGTTACTTCACCGACTCTTAATGCTGGGGCCTGCCAAGGGTCCATCTTCCTCCTCTCGGTTCAGCCAGGGTCTCCAGGTGGCTGTGAGGGAGGGCGGGACAAGAAGTGCTGTGAATGCAGACACATTTGTTATCAATGTTAAGGTTAGAGAAAGATGATTACTACATAATCTTCTCAGTATGAAGACTTTTTCTTTGAGTAGAATTCCTAATAAAACACACTTAGTTTGATGAGTAAAGATCTAAGGAAGCATTTGAAGCTGCTTGCGAGGGGTAGCAAGGTGGCACTGGACAGTCTAATCTTTATGAGCCTACCCTTCAGGCCAGCCATTGCTCACAAGGCCTCCTTCCTCGCAAGCTAAAGGAGTATTCCAAAAGAGAAGAGACCTTTTATTCAGGTAACTAAATGCAATACTCTGCCACAAATATCTGCCACAAAAATCATCAGTGAAATACACAGGAGAATTTAGGAGGACTTTGTAGGTGGAGCTCTTCCTTTGTCAATATTCAATATGATTACAGAAAGATTCCCCAAGGCAGGAAGAGATCATTTAAAAATCAAATTGCAAGCAGGGTGCTGGTGGCTCACGCCAGTAATCCTAGCTATTTAGGAGGTTGAGATCTAAAGATCATCATTCAAAGCTGGACTTGGACTATCCTAGTCCAAGTCATCCCAAGAGACTCTTATACCAATTAACCACCAGAACACCAGAAAAGGAGCTGTGGCTCAAAGTGGTAATATGCTAATCTTGAGCAAAAGAGCTCAGGGACAGTGCCCAAGCCCCAAGTTCAAAACCTGTAAATGACAAAAAAAAAATCAACAAATGGCATTCTTTTAAAGTATATTTTAGAAGACTAAAAAAAAAGGCATTTATTTAAAACTGACACATGAATCCTGGAACAAACAAATTTTGTATGTGCTTTTAGGTTGGTTTGAAAAACAAAAACAACAAAAGATAAATTTCCAACCTGCTTAAATCTTATAAATGACACAGAAAATCTCTGTGAGACTAGAGTAGCTCCAATTAGTGTGTTGACCATGTTCTGAGTAAAGTAATTTTTGTGTAACTGGCCCAGACTTATCAGATTAAGGGGTAAAAAGAACACATGAGATAGGAGATAGAGTTCTAAATTCTATAAAGTTAAATTTAAAGCTATCTCACTCCAATTTTGGTAGAATTTATTATAATGATCAGAAAATGCTCAGTTATATGCATGTTGGGAAACTTAAATCCAGAAGTTTTCTCTGTATTTGATTCTTAATTCCCAAACTGATTTTATGAAAGATACCATGTTCTATTTCTAAAACAGTACAGCAGCAAAGCCGTTTGGTTTTTTTCTGAGTCTTTCTTAGTTCTTTCTATAATATTATAGTTTCAAGATCTTGTTATATTTTTATATAATGTTGTATGAAATGCCATCTTCTTTTTTCCTTTGTTTCCTATTCCCCACCATCACCAAATTATAGTCAATTGCTGCTAAATATATATTTTAAGTGAAGATTAATGTTACAGCTCTGACAGTTCCAAAGTTATTAAAACTCTGCTCAAACTCTTGAGTTACTGGATTTTCCCCCCTACATAATGAAGTAGAAATAGCGTTGATTAGAAAGTTAAGAAAACTGGTTCTAATCTACATTCTATCTCACTTGTTCCTGGAATCAAATTAAATGACTCTGATTTCATGTCTGCCCCCGACTATCCTGAGTTGCCATGAGATCAGGTAAAATTCTTGAGGCACAAGAACTTCTAGAAAGCTAAGTATTTAACAAATGTGGGATCATTTTATGTGAATGTAGCCCTGCTACTACAGATGAATGAGACTTCTTATCATATCAACTCTACCCAACAAGACCCATGAAGACCCTGTGCTCTACTCAATGAACAAATGCTACTTTGAATCTAGAAGAAACAGTAAGAGTCCATCTGTGGATAATTAAGCCACTACATTTCCTTCCTGTTCTTTCTCCTCTCTTCCCCCTTTCTCTCTCTCCTCTCTCTGCAGAGAGCTGGTTTGTTTTACAAATAGCAATTTACAAATCACAAAGCTCACCTCCTCTCCCTCCCAGACTTTCTTTTCTTGAGAAATCACATGAAATTTTCTACTTCATTTCCAGCTAGCCCAGGAAGCTGGTCCAAATGTGGTTAATGAGAACAAGGCAGAATCAGAATCATTATCAGATGGTGGAATCAAATTCCTAGGAGGGTGCTGGCCAAGGTTTTCCACAGAGGGCCGCTTTCTAGTTGCAATAATGTGTGGCAGACACAAGCGTGTGCGTGTCTGTGAATGAAGGAGTGAAGTCTTCAGAATGCCCTTCAGCTATCAAGAAACAAAGGAGACAGGGCAACATAATCATCATGTGGGGGTTCATTGGGGATTACCACTCACAGTCATATCCATATCATCTGAGTCCATATCGTCTCAGCAGAGAAGCGTCAAGGAAAGAAGTGACAGGCTGGCATCAGCTTTGGCAAAGTCATAACAGCCAAATGAACAGAGGCCTCCACCTAATCCTGCAGCCCTGGCTACCCTCGAAGTTCTCACAAGTCATCCATTTATTTTCTTGTAGTTTTACAACGGCCATAATTTTGAAAAAGTATATGAATACACATTCATGTTTACCAAAATATATACTTTTGAAATATCTATCTTTAATTTTTGAGAATAAGCAACATTCTAGTCTACATGACAAGTGATATTTAGGCTAATACACCTGTATGGTAAGACTGAAAACACACTCACTAGATAGTATCTAGCTTAAATCTCTGACTTACAAATACGTTTCCAATTAAGGCTACATGATCTCATCCCAAGCATGAAACTGTCCCCAGGATGTCCATGTTCCGATTCCCAGCACCAGTGAATATATCAAAAGACGGTGTGATTTTATAGATGTTAAAATGATGAGATCGTCCTGCATGATGCAGTCAGGACTATTGTAACCATGTGACTCTTGAAAAGTGGACAACCTTTCCTGATTGAGAAGAATAGGTAGATGCCACTGCAAAGGATGGTCAATGAGTATCGTTGAAGAAACGCAATCCTGCCTAAAAGCACCAGCTCAGAAAACCATGTGGACACCAAGTCATGTACAACAAAGTTTATTGTCAGCAAGCTGACAGGCTAGCTCTCTTGGGATAGAGAGTAGCAGCCTGTCCTTAAGCAGGGATGTGGTTATAGAGTGCCATGGAAGCTGAAAGCAGAACAGGGAGATGGAAAGTGGTTAGTCTTGGAGTTGGATGCTAGAAATAGCCTGTGGCTGGGGCAAAACCTCCTGACTGTGGCAGCAGCATTTTGCAGACACAGCTGGGGGCTAGAGATGGTGCAGTTTAGATGGGGGTGTGGGCGATTGTGGCTAGGCCTGGCCTGGTCATGTGGTTTCAGGGAAAAAAGGCAGAGGACCTGGGATGGAGGCTGTCAGGCCAGCATTGTGGTGGATATGTTTACACTGCCCATACCTTATTTTGGCCCATGTCAACTTCCGAGCAATGAGATTTTAACACGAGTGTATCTTACTGAGTTTTTCATTGTCCTCCTTATTTCACATTTCTCTTTGTTTCAATCCCGCATCCCAAGTCTATTTTTTTTTATCCCAATTCTACTTCATTTTCTCCTTTGTTTCTCCACTTCCCAGTTTCTCGCCTTCCCTGTCCTCCTTTCTTCCCTGTGGCTCTCATTTCTCTGATTATCAAGTCTACTGTACTTCATTATCAACCTACATACTTCCAATTCTTTCCCAGAAGCTGAACTATGGTAAGTCTACTCTGCTGGTGGTGGACAAAATATAGGAAACAGTGGGCTACAGAATATCCTTAAAGGAACACCTTTCCTCCTCTCAACTTTAAGCCTGGATAATTACAGTGTTAATAGGTAAAAGGAGGATGGTGTGTTATCCCAGTCATTCTCTGAATGCATTGGAAAACAAATAATTTACAGTGAGTGCATTCATCATTTCAATATATTGACAATTTATTGAGATATCCATTTTGTTGTATCCTTACCCATGAGCAGACTGAAAAAAAATAGGGTGCTTGTTCTGAGTCTCATCTTAAAATGGTGTTCTCTTGCCACCAGCAGCTTTTGGGGGTCCAAAACAAGATAGCCAGACACCAGGAAAAGGGCGATTTTATTTTGGTTTTGCTTTTTAGTCTTTGATCAACATCTCCCCAACTCCACTGTCCTGGTAAACTACAAGGACTCTGCTTGTATGTGTTCAGCTATTTAAGGTTTCATGTATATGAGATCATGTGATACTAAATGTTTTATGCCTAGCTTATTTCACTTAATGTCCTCCACCACCTAGGCTTCTTCAGAGGAGTGTAGGCCATTGGAGGGCCATTAGAAAGTGCCCACTGAAGCCAGGCGCAGTGGCTCATGTTCATTATCCTAGCTACTTGGGAGGCTGACATCAGCAGGATAGCAGTTTTAGGCTAACCCAGCAAAAACATTCATGAGACCTCCATCTCAACAGAAAAAGCTGGGCAACAGTAGCATGTGCCTGTCATCCCAGTTAAAATGGGAAGTAAATATGAGGATCTAGTACAGTTGGCTTCAGGCAAAAAGTGAGACTATATCTTAAAAATAGCCAGAGGGGGGGGAAAATCGAGTGCTCGCCAAGCAAGAATGAAGCTCTGAGTTCAAACTTAAAAAAGAAGGGAAGTTCCTGATGAAATCTGAGGAGTGTCTCCATTGTGAATACCTTCTAAACAAGTTAGATCGGAGAGTCTTAGGAGGTGCTTCCCACAGGGGAGAACCCCAGCCAAGGGATGGTGTGTGATTGCCTGGGTGACAAGAGTAGCCATGGATTCATAGGCCCGACAAAGAGCTGGTCCCTCAAAGAACCAGTCTTACACACTTGGTCCTCAGGAATAACCAGGCTGGAACAGGATGAGGGCTAGAGACTCACTGGAGGACCAAGCCATAAACCACACATAGAACTCACAGCCCTGTGAAGCAGAGAGGCCCAAAGCCTAGCTGCGGTGAAATTTCTTGATATGGTCAGAGAATGTCAAACAATGAGTG